AACCCGCCGCCGCTGCGCCTTTGCTCCCGGTGCCCCTGGTCTGCTGGAGACGGTCCCCAGCAGACCAGGGACACCGGGAGCAGCTTTTCTCGCCCCGGAGGTCGAGGTGGCGGACCGCTGCCTGCGAGCTCCGGGGCGAGAAAGCCCCGTTCGTAAGTGCGGATCCGACATAAGTCGGATCCGCGTAAGTCGGGGACTGCCTGTATAGTCTATATAGCATTAACCTATACAGTTTTGCTTATCGGTTAATCAATTACATTATTACAACCCTATGTTGCCTCTGGTTTTCTTTGGCCTAGCTCTCTCCCTGAAACTTGCAAGGGCACCAGCTGCTGCAAACATTGCACAAGGGGAAGCAGAGCTGAGGGGAAAATCTTTGCAAAAGGCAAATGCAGCACTGGAGAACATCTAGGAACATTAAACTGTTAGTCAGAAATCTGAAATCAAGTCTGGAGTTTCCCTCAGAAAAGCCCTGCACCTGGCTGAGCTGCTAGCAACTGGGAAGGCAAAAAAAAAAAAAGGAGGGAACTTCCGGGACAAGGGCACCCCCCTACTGCCAGTCACTAGCAGGTCTGGTTCAGGCTACAGAACCTACTGTGACCAACCTATAGGCCAAAGCATAACAAAGAGCAGGTCAAATCTGAGACAGTGTAAATATAGGTTTAAATGATCTTTTTGACAACATACGACTCAGGCTGCAACTCCCAGTTGTGCAGACAGTATGTGCCCCATGGAGCTCACAATCAAGATTATGACAAGGTGCAACTAGTAGTGGATGAGACAGTCAAATGTGGAGTTCGAACAAGGGGAGCACAAGGACACAGTAAAGTTAACAAATTACCATACATTAAGCAGAGGTATCCACGCCTCACCTGAGTAGGGAAGCAGTGAATAGAGATCTCTGTTCTGCTTAATGTGTAACTAGTTAGCCTTACTGATATCTCAACCTTAGATATCACCACCCCTGACATGTTTGCCTCATCTACATGTTATTTCTGGTCATAATCTAGACTATGAGCTCTTTAGACCAGAGATCATTTTTATACCATGACTGTGCAACACCTAGCATTATAGAGCCCTAATTCTTGATGGCTGCCTGTAATACAGATTAACAATTTGTTCAACTTTTCATTCAAACTAGATGATTTAATCCCTTTTATTTCACTGGAGCCAGATCTACACTAAAAAGGCAAGTTGACCAAGCTATATGGCTCAGGGGTGTGAAAAATCCTTACCCCATGAGCAATGTAGTAAAGCTGACCTAAACCTTGGTGTAAGCAGTGCTAGGTTGACAGAAGAATTCTTCGAGCACCTAGCTACCTCTTCTCAGGAAAGTGGATTAACTATAGTGACAGAAGAAGTTATGGCTGTAGTGAGTGGCTACAGTGAAGGGCTACTGCAGCAACTGTGCTGCTGTAGCTATTTAAGTATAGATATTGTCTTACAATAGAAAGGGAAAAGATCACACTTAGAATAAAAGACATTGCAGGAAATTGGAGGAAAACCAATGTTCAAGATCAGAGACTGTCACCTTCTACTATTAGTGGAGGTGGAGCATTACACTAAGGCAGGGCCAGGTTGAATAGGGAGCCCAAGATGGTATAATATTCCCCCAAAACATGTACAGGTAAGGCAGAGCTTGATTTAAGCATATAAGCGAGAAATCTAACAGAGTATCTCATAAAGAGAGACCACAGCCTAGCTCAATGGAATCCCACCCCCCAAATTCTCCAGGTTAGTAATGACTTCATGCTATTTGAAATGTGTTGTGGTCTCAGTCCAGTTCCAAATGGGACTGGTGTCTGCAACACAAAAAATGCTACCACAACTGGCATTATTTGGCAAACTCTGTAGAGAAGCCAAGATTGGACAAATCATGGCAGTCCCCCTACGTGTGATCCCTCTAGGTCAAAGATAAGAAAAACTGACAATGATGTGAGGAATATGACATACCGATGTCTGTGCTATACCTGTGGTTGAATTAAAAGGACCTCCCTTCCTAATGGATATCAATCTAGAACCTTTTACCATCATATATAGAATCATAGAACTAGGGATATGAAAGTATAACTGTGTACATGGTTAACCGATGAGCCTGGGCTCATCAGTTAACATGCACGGTTATATGCAAGCCCTCCTCTTCCACTTTGCTGCCACTGTATGCTTAAACGCCAGCTCCCCACATACACTAGCTCCCATGGAGCCACCTCCCACCGCACCCATGCTGCTGCCTCGGTATCAGAAACAGCAGCACTGGGGAATGAGGGCAGGCAGGAGCCAGCTGAGCCCGCGCCTCCACTGTGCGTAACCACTGACGTTTTTCAGCAGTTACGTATTTACTTGTATAAATGCATTTTAAAATCCCTACATAGACCTGGAAAGGACCTCAAGAGGTCATCAAGTTCAGTCCCTTGCACTCATGGCAGGAACAAACACCATCTAGACAAGTGTTTCTCAAAATGTTCCATGGGCCTGCTTTGGGAAAGGGTCTGTAGCCACAAAGCCCTGCGGCTCCCATTAGCTCTGGTTCACTGTTTCCCACAGCTCCCCTTGTCTGGAAACAGCAAATTGGAGCCAATGGAAGGTGCGAGGCTCCAAAGTTACAGACACGTTAGGTAAACAAAGCTCAAAGTGGGCCTGCAGAACACTTTGAGAAACACTGGTCTACACATCCCTAATATGCATGGGAATAAATTAAAAAATAATTACAGAAACAGTCCAGCTGGCTCCTGCCTCGAACAGAGCGTATGAACAAAATACTGAAGTACTGCAAACATCACTGCAGATTAGAGTCTGTCACTTTCCACTACCACTGGAGCTGCAGCATTACACTAAGGCAGGGCCAGGTTGGATCAGTGGAGACCATGGTGACATTACATGATATCCCCAAAACCACATACAGAATAGACAGAACTTGTTCTATACATGTGAGAGAGAAATCTTACAGAATACCTCCTAAATAGAAACCCACTTTGGCACAGTGCCCTCTCTCCTCAAAGCATTCTACATCCCTGCATCCTATTGCTAAAGATATAAGGAAAAGGTTATCTTGCAGTTCATCAACAAAATTACACCAGGTGTGTGCAAAAAGTATCATCCGTCCCCCTGCTGCTTTGACATCTTTCTCCCTTCACTTAAGTTGCCTCCCAACCATAACCAAACAGCCAGGCCAAGATGGATCACAGTCACATGAAAAGTTCAATTAATTCTTTATGCCATAATATAGTACGTCTGGGGAACATACCAGAATGGTTTCCTCAGCCACAGTGCCCAGCTGCACGTGAGGTCCACAGTCCACAACTATGTTTAAACAATATATTAGTTGTTTTTTCTCAGTTTCCTTTTGCCACCACAAACTCATTAAATTGGCCATCCTGATAAGAATCACTGGAACAACATATAGCCAGTATTGGGGTAGGCACAGCTTGTAGAGCCAGAACAAGAAGAAGCCTGACTGAAAATCCCAAGATTCCCTCGGAGAGCATGAAAAAAAAGAAGTTACCAGTAAGCCCCTGCAGCTCCTCCGTAGCACAGGAAATCCAGGATTGGATGTGACCAACTCAATACAAGAATAACACAGGCCAAAGGAGAAGGAGTGACCTGTTCAGCGCAGCCCAGTTGCTCCCAGGAACACAGGA